TTTTTTTTTGTGAGTCCGAGTAGGACGCATACAAGTCATTAGTTCATCAAATTACTACGTTTGCATGGTTTCAAGGCAAGAGAACACGCAGTACCACCCAAAAGGGGTATATTCCGTTCCTCAAAACTGGGCCGAAAAACCGGGGATATGGGCATTTTGTCCCCGGGTGTGCACCGATTTTTTTTTTGTGTGTGTCGAACATCCGTCATACTAAGAGCCTGTGTACCAAATTTCAGGTCGTGGAACGCTTTAGAACGTGCGTATCCCGCCACTACCGGAAAGTGGTCCTTGATACCCCCCCCCCTCCTTTTGATCCAATTTTTACCTAGAATGTGAGGTATACTTCAAGGTCTATATATACTCGCCACCTTCACTTTTTTCAATTTTTCTCTCTTTGTCATGTAGTCTATGTTATAGGCTATCGTATGATACCTTGATCTCTTCATGAATCATCTTGAAACCAGAGAACAAGCTGCCTAAGTGGGGGGTGCCTTAGGGGGTCCTTAATACCCGTCCTTACTCTGTATCCCACACATCACACGCGTTTATATTGTTTCACAAAATGAGACCCCTTCCAACATTGGGCAATAGTTTCTGTCAAAACCAATACGCCGTATCCCCTCTACCTGGCCTTCTATGTGTATACATACTCCACAGCGAGGGAAGCCCGCTTTCAGTCACCTATGTCGAGCTAGTTCTGATTCTGTTGTTCGCGAAGCTGCCGAATTCATCCACAAAACAAGCAACCATTTCTGGTAAAGAGAGCGCCTGAAGGGCGTCCAGTCGAGCTTGGGCTCCTAAGCGATCTCTTAACACCACGTCTCCAGCCAAGAGCTCGAGGGCGTCCGCCAATGCCTTTGGAGTGGGCTCGGCCACCAAGATGCCGTTCTCCATGTGACGAACCAGCTCGCCGCTTCCCCCAAACCCGAACGTCACCAGCGGCACGCCCAGGAGCATGGCCTCAGGTCCAACCATCTCGAACGCTGTAGGCCCAGTCAAGGGTAGAACGAGAGCGGTTGCCTTTTGAACCTCACAGGGCACTTCCTCTGTTGAGAGGAACCCCGTAAACCTTACGGCTACATTGAGGTCCCGGGCCAGGCCCTGCATCGGCTCGAGCAGAGTGCCGTTCCCTACGACGACAGCTTCTGTTCGCCTTCCGCCGCCCTCCGCCAGTAGTCTCCTCTGCAGTACCGCCACGGCACGCACAAACATACCCGGTGTCTTCTCGGGCACAACTCGGCCGACCATGACAAACCTCGAGGGCGGGGGTGAAACCCTTCCTCCGCCATTGACGCCAGCTCGGCCGCCTTCATCCTCTCCAAAGCTCTTTTCCGGGTATTGGGGATGACCAACCGAGACCTTCTCAGAGTCGTCGCGGGCTTCCACGTTGGTCAAGTGGCACGAACGAGAGGCGTTTAGAACTCCCACGGCGTCCATCACCGGTTGGCAAACCTTGACCGACAAGCCTTGCTCATTTCGGCTAACGGTAGGGTTGTGCGCAACGTAGTGAGACGGCCCGATGAGCTTGGTGGCCCCACCAAACAGCGGAGACGCGTGACTGCTGATAGCACCAGCACCGAGGAGCACCACGCGAGTGCTCACTCCCGCCAACCGCGCTGCCTGCAGGAGAAACGCGTCGTTGTCTCCGCCCCCGTTTGACATCACGAGCACGTCGAAGGCGGATAGGTGGCGGTGGAGATCGAGGAGTGCTTGCGCGACGTCGGGGTGTCTCGACGTGACATTTTCCCACGTTGCCGCGCCCACGAGGGCGGAATGCAACAGCCGAACCACAGTGCTGCCCTGCCGCTGAGCCGAGTCCCACATCTGCCGTGTAAGATAATGTCAGGGTTCGTATGGTTATTTATTAAGTGCCAACTAAAACCAAGACGCCCTCCGGAGGGGAAATCGCTGGCTCAACGGTGCACCGCAATGTCTTGTGCTAGGAATAGTACCATCAACTGCCGTGGTAACAGCTTGGATATATATAATGCTCGTGTGTCGAGTCTATGCTGTCATATTTTTCTGGCCGGGACATGGCAAGCCGAGAAACGTGAAGGTGGACAAAGACGGCCTTCACCAAAGGCAATTGTAGCGTGCAGAGTCTACTGACTGGGAAGCTGCGAATGTGGGCTACCTCGATTGGTGGCTTGATGCACAGACGAAAGACTTCGACAGCGTGCCTCTCGAACGAATCCTTCACAGGTAGGTCCCCGGCTGCACACACGACGGCGCGGGGGGATGAGGGGTATCTTTCTTAGTAACCCTGAAGTTTGTGCGGATTGGGCCCTGGTAAAGAGAGCCCTTACATGGTGCCAAAACCGCAGAAAAAATGGTTCTGTTCGTGAGAGGCGCGATACTTCAAGAGAAAACAAGTACATAAAATCATCGGCATGCGTGTGGCCGATCACTTACTTTTCGGCATCTTGACACAGGGAAGAAGGGAAATCCTCCAGTATCAAGCAATACCTCGTGCGCCCCCTACTTCAAGCTTTCCTCACATGCACAAGATAGGTCCAGCATAGATGCTCGGAAACCACTGGGCATGTTCTTTGACAGGTGGAGCGTGCTGAGGTTGTAGCCATCCATGACCCGAAGATCAACAACAAACACGATACGACGGGGCTCGATGCCACCTTCCCCGCCCTGCGTTCCGCCAGCAGGGGCTCTGGAGGAAAGCGCACCATCCTGTGAAGGTCTGCGCCGGACTACGTGTGTCTCCGCGGAGAAGACTTCGATAATGAGCGAGGTCTGGGCGATGCAAACCTCCCCATCTGCAGGCCGGGTCCCCTGCTCCGGATCTTCTATCTGTTTCTCGAGGAGGCAAAACTCGAACACGTTTGTCCCTTCCCTAATGCCGTCGATGCTTACGATGCCCAGCACTGTCGTTGCCTCGACGCCGTTGACCGATATCTTGACCCGTCGTGGTACTGTTTCCAAAAGCTCAGACCCGGCCGTGCCGCCATCAACCGTGCCAATCCGTCGCAGGCCTGCTGCTTGTGAGAATCGAACGTGGAATGAGCTGTGGTAAGAACTGACGATTGAACCGTTCTGTTCGGATGTAAGCTTGAAGCTTGACGTGGCCGTCGCGACCGAACCATCAACACCTCCTTCGCCGGCAGTTTTCGGTAGTGGGACAACTGCTGTGTGTTCAGGCTCCACCAGGTCCAAAACCAAGCGCGTGGTGTGCCCTGCCGATGTGCATATCACCTTGGCATCCCCTCCGAGGGATGAAAACATGTCTGCGTCTCGAAGTATGTGGGCCCACCTTTCCTCGCTAACGAGGGCGCCACGGGCTGCAGCGGCCGCCGAGGAAGTTCGGGCAATGGTGGCTAGGCTTTCCATCGTGACAACGCAGTTCCCAGACGTGTCGTGCAACATCGTGCAGCGCTCATCGTTGACGTGTGACCACGCGAAGACCTCTACTTGGATGTTCGCGGCCTGAAGGCGGTACGGTCCGTTACACTCAGCGAGAGTGGCCGGGAGTGTCGATACAGAAACTGCTGTGCAAGCTATGCAATGATGATGCAAAAGGGCAAGGATGGCACACGGAAAAGGGGTGCTTAGTACAATCAACGTCAAGGGTTGCTGTGCAGCGACAGGACTGGTACATTACCAGTACTCTGGTATGGTCTATAAGTCTATAACGGCTACATCTCGGTAGCAGGACCTTGATGGCAATAGATATTTAGTCTGATCTCTTAGCTAGAACGTGGTCTAGAGATGTATAGATAGGATTCCTTGCATCGTCCCCCGAATGCACCGTCTACGTTTGCATGCGTGGCGTTCTCTATCCAGGTGTTTACTACTTTGGGGGGGTACACTACAAACTCAATGAGTCCATCTTACATGTACCCGCAAATATACATATTGTGTACCCGACCCCGATCGGTTCACCCTGGCAACAGGATGAAAATACAAGTCGCCGGCGAAGGTCTTGCCTGGACATGAGATGGTGACAGCGTTGCTGACCCTCTCAAAATCAGACGAATCGCCGTTGTAAACGTTCCACATCGAGCTGTGCGCAGGAGGAAGGGCTGAGTCGACCTGCACGAACGCGGAACTCCGGTCGTGAGCCCCGCCTATCGTCCACACCCCTTGGATATCGTTGTATTCCAGCGCCATATGCCCACCAGTTTTTTCCGACGAGCTAATCCAGGCTGGTCTACGTTGGATCGTGTCAGCTTGGTCCTCGAGGAAGGCATAATCGCCATCTAGAGGTCCGAGGCCTTCAACAGTGACAATTGAGCAAGGTGCGCCAACCTGGGCGCTCGGAAATACCCGCTCGGCGGCAGCATCAATTCGTATTTTCGACATCAATGTATCCGATGGAGGTTCTACTGCTGCTGTCACCCCGATCGATGCCCACTTAAGGCACGCCGCCAACACAAGTCGAAACGATGAGGCGTTCATCGCATGTGTGTAAACGGGAAGAGGCAGGGGAGTCTTGCAGACGGGGCGCTGTCGCTAATGATCGCACGATCTGGTCGACCTTTTTTTTTTTGTCGTTGACGGGACTGTAGAGAATAACGCGACGCTGTGGAAACCCTGGATGTGTGTTGGTTTTGGATCGAAGGGAATCCTTGGGGCCCTTTGGTCTAGGCCCTTAGGTCCGAGGGGCGCTCTGTCAGTCGGAGGGGGAAGGGAAACGACGCTAGCAAATCATTTCAGCCGAGTTCTGTTGTGCTGGGAAACGAATGGCTGCACACAACAACGAGAAACGCTGGATGGATTACGGTCAAAAGTAGAGTTTCGCTTGTTGGACAGCTCACGGATCCTTTTCCCCCGACCATGACCTTGTGGGCGGCGTCGGCGGTATGCTGCTGTACACAGGCTATTGGACTACTTTCCGCTGCAGTGAGTGTGAAAACAAAGGGCACAGCAGTGCAGTAGAAGGGTGTTTATTTTGTAACAACAGAGAACTGCTGTATTGTGGTACTCGTTGAACGTACAGTTTGCTGTAGACATGGAACTCTAATTCTAGACTACATGTTAGACGGTAGATAACGGCACGATAGTGTTCCTACGTTTTCCAGTAGCTGTATACAAAGCGTTCTGGAAGCATATGGTCCGCAACTTTGTTGGTGGCGTGATGGTGTGTTGCCTCACATCATGCTAAAGGGCCAACGAGTATGATCTATTTGCTTTGCTGGTATATATATATATAGATGTTCCTGGACAGCGGAGTCCGGGGGCAACCAGTCGAGCCTGACAAGGACATCTTCACGCCCTCTGGAGAGCTGATGAAAGGGCCATCACACCACCGAGAGGAGGACACCGAAGCGACTGAAAGGATAGCTAGTGTCTTTAGAGCAAGACAAACTGGCAGCGTGGAACAACAGCTTCTTGTTGGTGCGACAGACAACCTGGTTGCCGAGGGTGAGAAGCCTTTGCCGACCCCTTTGCCGACGAAAAACGACACCGCGGCTATTTGGATCACGCGGCCGTTGAACGACACAATTTTGCCCTTGGGGGACGTTTTCCTGACTTTCGAAACGCACGGATTTACGCCAGCCGTGGAGACTCCGATCGAGGCAAGTATGAGTCGAGGAGCCACATTTCGCTTCTCGAGCGTACCGATAGATCCGAACACCACCTGGGCAGTGTATGTGTTGCTGTAACCTGCACACATACCAATGTATTTGCTTGAATTTTTATGAGAAAAATTTTCGCGGGTGCACTCTTCGGCCTTCTGCAGAGCAACTGGAGAACCCGGAAGCGCACTACGTAATCAGACGCGTTGATCAATTTTGCGTTTGACGTTCCTGCATTATTTGCTGTGCGGTCTGATGATCATTGTCCACCCCAAACTCATAGTCCCGATTTATCTAGACCTGCAGGTGCTCACGTCTCAAAACGGGGACACACCGTTCCTCCTGGAGAAAGGCAACTCTATAATCCTGTCTTCGGATATACCGTGCACTCAACAAGTCACATTGTACGCAACCGTTAGAGGGGAACGCGTATCGGCGTCAGTCCTGTTTTCCACGGTTCTGGGCAGAGAAGCGATACTGTCGGCCAGGACACCGTTGCCGTCCGGTGTTGTGTGGGGTCGTCCGCGTTCGATGGTATGCCCTCCCTTGATACGCGAACACAAGAAGGGCGATATTTTTGCCAGCTTACCCAAGGGCGACAAGAGTACCTGGCAGACGCACGAGGGTGGGACGGACGTGATGGTTGGGAAAGGAGGACTCTGTTGTAGTAGTGGAAGTGCAGAATCACAGCGATGCGATTCCGGCGAGGAGGCGATCGAGGGGCTTCCGCGTCCGATATCCCTCGTGTATGTGGGGTCCTTGAGTCTAGACGGTCAAAAACACATCTGGTTGCAGCAGCTGGAACAGCTTCCTCGGGTGCGGTTCGCTGCAAAGTTTTTGACGTTCGAAGAACAAGAGGGGACACGAGGCAGCACCGCAGGCGCTTGGAAGACCAACGCCGCCGAGAGTTTCAAGCAGAGGCTGAGTCGTGCCGGCGTGCCGCTGGTCACGGTACGGTTGCCGCAAGTTAACTCGAGTTGGATACACGATACTATTGGCAGGCAAGCACCTACCAACACTCTAAAAGAGATGGCCTTCAGGACTGTGCTCGAGAGCTTCCACCGTGCGGGGGGCAATCCGCATGTGATGAGCCCTCAGTGGACCGGAGAAATTTTTCAACACATCGCGGATGCGGTCCAGAGTGCCTCTCCAGACGTGCTAGTCATGGCCAATGGGAAAACATTGGGGGACGATGTCCTTACGAAAGCCGCTCGGTGGGCAATGCGCGACAACAGCGGCTTCAAGATTGTGATGGACTTCCCAAACATTGGACCCTCCCTGGGCGTAGATGTTGATGTGATAGCCACACCGTCGCACTACGTGGCCCGGCATCCGGACACCCAAGCTCTGGCCGCGGCGGCCGGGGCAGAGGTGGTGGTCATTCCTCCCGGGGTTCCGGTCGCGTCTCCCCTATCACAGGCGAAAACCCTCCTTGCTGACGAATTGCTGTCTCCCGGCAGAACGTCGGGAGAGCTGCGTCGTGAATGCGTCTGCGACAGCGGCATGCTGAACAAGCTCGGATGTTGTGACCCAGCCTGCCACGTGAGGAAATATGAGACTGTTTTAGACAAACTCGTTCACGCCGCTGCAAGCGCGGTGTTGGCCATGCTTTGGCCGATACAAGTACAGGCCTTCATGACCGGGGGGGCCTTCCTCACAAGTGCAGGCCAACAATTCGCTTGACTGTGGCACAGTAGTGTTGGCTGTTGCGCGCTTTGCTTGTACCATACGAGAAAAGTATCCAGCAATATATGGTGTTGATTATCGCAAACAAACAAGGGGGAATCATGCGTACTTCGGCGATATGTCGCCCTCCGGGCGCGCTTGACATATTTTCTCTTCTCGAAAGCTTGAGACCACACGTTTGGAAAATAAACAAAGCGATTGCCAAGTGTTGTGTGTTAGATGTACAACATATCCACGGAGCTAAACAGTCAGCGCTGACTATTTAGCTCAGTGGATATGTTGTACATCCAACAAAAGTGCAACAAGGGTCCGAATCCCTCTGGGAGCCATCTTGACGCCTTTTTTCGGGAAAAAGAAAAAAAGTCTGGGATACATCACCAGTCGTCAACAATGAAGACACATATCCCCGCCTGTAAGCCGATGACCCGCTTGGGGCAGCGCTGATTACAGGGATTACAACCCTGGGGGAAAACCAGAGTCCGACAGCCTAACAGCTGTTCGGACCCTGGTTGTACTTTTGTTTGATATACAACATGTCCACTGAGCTAAACAGTCAGCGCTGACTGTTTAGCTCAGTGGACATGTTGTATATTTAACATTGTGGTTGGGGTTTCGGCCACTCCCGTAGAGTACAATTTGCATCGGCTGCTAAAATTGTAGTCGGGATCGTTTGGAACGCGTAGATCGCCATTCCGTCCAATGCCTCCCCTCAATCCCAGGTCGTCAATGCGTCACCCATCACCGTTGCGCCCGCCGCCCTCTCCCCCCCTGCAACAGGTGGTCGGCTTTGCAGGTCGTTTAGCCCCCGAGAAGGGCCCTGGTCTGTTCATGGTCGTTGCTGAGGCCCTCGCAAAACTTATTCCTTCTGCTGTTTTCATCGTCGTGGGAGACGGCCCCCTCAGAACCTCCTTGGAAGCAGCGGCTGAGAGAATGGGAATAGCGAGGTGAACGATACACGCGCATGTAAAGATCCCCGTCTAAAAGGCTACAATCTCCCGAACGTCTGCTTGAGGCCGATTTCCTTTTTTCACGATCACATGGGTCTTCAGTGTGACTCACAAGGAAAGAATACAGTCGCCGGGAGCGTGAGGGGCGACTAGTAAGTAAACTGTTTGACCGGCTAGGTGATGTCATCGTGAACCTTGGTTCTTGAGCATGGCTTCAATTTTTGTGTGGATGGGATCGACCCTCTGGTCCAATGGGTCGTTCAGCAGTACGCAGTGGACAGTAGCGGAGGGATGCAGGGTGCCATATGTTTGGCTTGTCGATCACAAGCGGGAGTGCTTACGAGAGTCGCTCAACCTTCCCAACCAAACTCAACTTTGAACCCTCCCAACACACACGGGGTTGGGTTTTCGTCGCTTGGCAACGACGTCGCAAAACAAGCCGCGCCCCCCGGTGTTTGCCATCGGGGTTGGGTGTTCGTCGCTTGGCAACGTTGTAAAACAAGCCAATTCGCTTCGTGAACTCGGCAACCAGGTTACCGGGTTATTTTTAAACCTCTGTTTTTTTGTTTTTTGGCGGTAACCATAATGGTGGTCGAGTAGATCATGTTGTGCGGGGTCGAGAACCCTCACTCCGCGCAAGGGGGATGATCGCACCACTTTGTGTTAAAATGGTCAAGCACCCTCGAGGCAGTTACACAGTGCTTACAACTGTCTCAGGAAGTGAAAGCACCAGAAAATAAACTAAGTCATACGCAGCTGTCATCCGTACGCAAGGAAGTAAGCACAAGATGCCCAACACCCTTAGCAGGATGCAGCGCACCCTTCATGCGACTCGCCGAATATCTCACGGCGCTTCGCGCTTGGTGATGTGATAGCCTGGTCCGGTGAGATTCCGGCGTGCTCCGTCCCGGCTTTTGTAGGGATGCGAGGTCAATGGTCTAGCGAGTACGGCATGCACGACTATGAGTACTATGAGTACACCCCCCCAACACACCACCGACCGCACACATAATTCACTCCCGCTTGGCCTCGTGATCTTGCCCTCCCCCCCCCCCCCCCC